TATGGATAGAATTCTTCTTCACTTTAGTCTAAATTTCCTCCCAACTTTGATGGTTTATTATCTGCATCCAAATATACACCAACACTCGTGGAAAATGTTAGAATTAAATCCTACCACTATGTTGGATATATTATTAACTATGCTTTATACAGGTATTGGCGACATATAATTGGTATCTTACAGCCGTCAACAAACCCTCCACACTTAGCTCTTTAGGGGGGGTGTAGAATATTTATACCGAAACATGCGAATCACAATCAGTGTGTTCACTTTCGGTTTTCACCTAACCTTTGGAATTTCGGTCACTGAAATTTTCACGAATTTTAGAAGTTTTTGTCTGAAATTATTTAAGAAGTTAACAAATTTTGACTGAACTTGAATAAATTTTGTCCAAATTCAATTTTTTTTGGAAAAATACAAAAAATTCAGGCGAGATATTTGCTTGTTGAAGGGGAGTGAAATTACTGAAACTTCAGAAATATCAAACTGAAATATATAGGAATCGTTGATCAAAATGCAACAAATGTCTAATATGTTGCCTCGGTCTATCGATCGAGCAAAATTCGGTCCAATCTACTCCGCGGCAATAGACAAGACAAAAAGTTACCATGACACACCATGCCATGTCTAAGGTGACGCCGCAATAGCTCGATACAAAATTAGATTGATTTCCTGTAGGTTCAAATGCTAGACTTATCATTGGTTATTGGTGTTGGCATGTATATCCTGAACGATAGTGAGTCGTCCATGATGGTAACATCATCAATTTTAAAATATATCGGCTTATTTTATTTTAAAGTTCTCAAAATAGGGTGGGATGTGTACACGTTCATAAGAGTGCGAATGTGCGTGTACATGTGAGCGTCTTTGTTTTTTTTTCAGGGAGCGTCTATATTTGTAGTGTCTTAAAAGAAGAAACTAGGAGGCCTAAAGCAACAAAAAAAAATTGTAAACCCCACCTTCTGTAGTATTACTTGATTCCAAAATATAGTAACATGTCATTGAATTTGGATCCTAGTATTAGTATATATCTAACTCAATCATAATTTGCTATATTTAATCTGGTGATCGTGGTATTATCATGTATCTAATTCAATCCTTTTTTTCTATATTTCGATGATTGTAGTATTACGATGTACATAATTCAATTTTAAGTTGTTATCTTTTAGTTATAGCATCTTCGGTAGCTCCGTTGATGGTGGCACAGTACGACACAGTTGAGGGAGGGAAAGCGATTCATTTGAGGCAGGCCGGAAGGCCCACTAGTGTGTTAAGGCTCCGTTTGGCTAATGGGTTATGCTCATTAGGAAATGGAAATAGTATCCTAATAATATGAGGTGGTAGACTATATGAAGGGAAATTATATCCCATGTTTGGTTTGATGGATGGGAAATGAAAGTTTCTAGACTAATGACCAAAATACCCCTCCTTGCAATAAGCGGTAGATGAATCAACAGATTAAATGTGTCAAAATGGCGAGGGCAGTTTGGTAATTTCGCCTAGCACTCTATCCACCCCTCAATCTAGCAGTATTGCATATCCCATTCCCAAACTACCCAAAAAACGAAAATATGAAATTTGGAAATAATATCCATTTCCCACTCCCTTTATCCCATTTTCCAAACGCAACTGATCTGTCCTCTCGACTCTCATTGGATTATCGATGATCTGATCGTCGACCGTCATCACCGGACGCCGGCTCGCCGCTTCAGCCAATCAGCCTTCAGCGCTTCTGTTCTGTGGCGTGCCGCGTGTGTCCTGGCCGGTTCGGCGCCATGTCACCGGTATCAGCGATTTTTTTCTGTTCGGCGTCCAGACTACAGAACTCCAGCAGCGTGCAGGCGGCAGGTGGCTGTGATGCTGTGTTGGTGTGGCAGGTATTTAGGATTTTAGGTCTTATATATACTCGTGTTGTTTTTTCTTCAAATTTCACATTTAACTTTTAACACTTGCGAATTTTGATATTAAATTGTATTATTGTATTGTAGATTGCATGATAAAAGATGAAGATATTGTGAGGTGTTTTCATTCATTGAGCGGGATGTTTTTCTTCAAAGTGGATGAAGAAGATATAATGGATACTTTCATGACCATTAGAAGAAGTAGCACGGTAATCTTCTTCCAACTTTTTTTAGCCATATAAGCTTATTTAAGTCAGAATTTTACTTCATAGTTAATTTCTATATGTTTTAAGATGCCTTGTTAATATATATCATGGTGCACTTTTAATCTATTTTATTACTTATACTTGTATTATATATATTAGCATCATTAATTACAATTACGGTGTTTAATTTTTTTAAGTTGGACCACCCATACCCTAAATTCTAGATACGCCACTAGGAGATCATCCAGGCTCCTCTCCCTCGCCGGCCCACTGCCTCCATCCTCCTCCCCCTGCGCTGCCTCTGCTCCTCCTCCATCTTCGGCACATCGCGCGGCGGGTTCAACCTGGTCCTCCGTCTTTGTCGGCACGTACGTCGCGCTCCTCGTGCTCCGACGGAGGAGGGGCTCTCACTCCGTCCCCTCGTGCTCGGGTTCCCGCGACGAGAACGGCGGTGGTGGTGACGAGAACGTCACGAGCTTCCATGGCAGGTTCTTGTCGCGTCCGGTGCGGGGGAGGAGGTGGTGTGGCCGCCGTGTTCCGTCTCGCCGCAGCCATCCACCAGTGGGCACCCGTCGATGCCTCCCACAAAAGAGAGAGAAAAGGGTAAAGATGAGAGGTTTTTACATGTGTGCCATTAAAAAAGATTACCCCTGCCTTTATGCCACTAAAAAGTTAGAGCCTCCCTCTATACCATCATCGAACTTTATCGCGCCCTTCACACCATACCATCCATATTTGGTCCTAATGATGTCAAATGACGCAGCCAAATGACGTTGTTGCCCTTAGTGTTGAGAGAGAAGAGAGAAGAGAGGAGAGAGAAGAGAGAAGAGAGAGAGAGCCGGGACGGGGGTGCCACCGACGAAGAGCGCCGGGACGGCGACTGCGACGGCCGCGGACGCCGTGGCCTCCTCGGCGGCCCCCATGGCGGTGAGGAGCTGGCGCATCCCGACGACGACCCCCCATGAGTCAGCCCCTGGCCGCACCGCGCAGCGCCGCCTTGGCTAGCCGTTCGGCGCGACCGTCCGCCACCGCGCCCCTCCTTCTTCCTCCTCCTCCTCCGCCGCCACCGCCGCCGCGCCCCTCCTTCTTCCTCCTCCTCCTCCGCCGCCACCACCGCCGCTGGGGAAGGGGTGGACTGGGAAGCCATGGATCTCTATCTCTCCTTTCTCTCGAGCCGCGGCAGCTGATGGTTGCGAGCCGCACCGGCCGGCCGCTCCCCTCGGCTCTCAGGCAAAGCGGCGGCGGCCCCCGCCCCGCGCCCTGCCGTCGCCGCCGCCGCCGCTCCTCTCGCCGAGCCGCCGCCGCTCCTCGCCGAGACAACGCGCGGCGCGTGAGGGGCCGCCTTCTCCCCGCTGAGCTCGACCCTGCCACTGCGGTGCTCGACCCTGCCACCACCGCCGTCGACGCAGGTGACGCCGGACCAGCCCGCCGCGCCCTCGCCGTGCCCGCCGCCGGCTGCCGACCACCGCTGCTCTTGACTGCGTGAGAAAGAGGAAGAGGGAAAAGAGAGAGGTGAGAAAGTATGACAGGTGGGGCCCGTGACTGAAATGGCAAGAGTGACATTTTTCCTGCTCGGGCCCACATGTCAGAGCAACCAAACGGTTAGACCCTAACAGAATAGCGACGGAATGATGTGGAGGGCGCGATAAAGTTCGACGATGGCATAGAGGGAGGCTCAAACTTTTTAGTGGCACAGAGGTAGGGGTCATCTTTTTTAATGGCACACAGGTAAAAACCTCAGAGGATAAAGATGTCATGTGGGGCCATGTGGGTTTCACCATTTTTTAATAATTTTGTGTGTGAAACTGACATGTGGGTTCCACGGTTTTTATTATTTTTTCGGATCGAAATGCTATGTAAGCGTCACGTCAATGTCACATCAGATGAAGACCGAGTCAAATTAGCTACATAGGTGCCACGTTAGCCAAAACCGTCATCTAAACCGCTGAGGGGTCTCGTTTGTACTGGTTTTGATAGTTGAGGTTCCCGTTGTATCTGGTTTTTTAGTTGAAGGATGAAAATCGGATTCGTTGACAAGTTAAGCAGCCTAGGATGAACTTATTCCTTTTTTTTTTCTTCCGAGTGCAAAGTCTGAACAAGCACATACATTGGGGGACTGCTAGGGGACAGTATACATATTTGTCGTTAAATTTTCTCTGATATAAAATTTTATCAGATGTAAATATAGTGATGTAAATATAGTGGACGCCCGCTCGTCAATTACTAGTATTTTCGCATCCGTTGAGTTGTTTGGATGATACCATTTGCCACAAAAGTTTCGATAAGGTGTGACTAAGCCATATATTAGCAAGTTGTGACGAGAAAATGAAGTATGCCGAATTTCTTTAAAAGAGTGGCACATAATAGTTGTGACAACAACCAAAACTAATACCTGCTGACTACTGAGCCAGTGATTAAAAGAAAAAGAAAAGAAGAAACGCAAAGGACACAAGCAAAAAGATAGAAATCTGGGGCACAAGTCAGAACTGATGACTGATGAGCACATCATACTAATATCAACTTCAACCATAAAGTACTAACCCGCAATTTGTTCAAAAAAGAAGAAAAAAACTGCAAATCTGCAGCTTTTGTTCGTTTCTCATAACGGCTAATCACCGCCAAACCGTTAGAACTCTCCTAATTGATACTTCCCCCGTTTCACAATGTAAGTCATTCTAATATTTTCCATATGCATATTGATGTTAATAAATCTAGATAGATATATGTCTAGATTCATTAACATTAATATGAATATGGGAAATGCTAGAATGACTTGCATTGTGAAATGGAGGGAGTTCATGGATTAAAGAAGGCAAACAACACCGGGTGCTCTTAGCTTGCACCGATCCTATTTATTTATCCTGCATCAGAACATAGATCACCAATTCACAGGTTAACAAAGCAACCTCCATGTAGGAAATCAATGCAAGAGCAGCATTACAAATTACAAGTGGTAGAAACATTCTGCACAAGTTACCATATATCTTCATAAAGGCTGTATCGATTCAATAAACAGTGTATATATAATTCTTTTTCCAACAACTTTGGTGGACAAAATTTTTGCCGATGGGGAGGGAGGGGGGGCTACCAAGAACAATTGCTATGTTACACCACCCGAGATCCGAGATGGGGATCCAGCATCTCTCTTTAAATTACCTTGGCCTTCATGGTAGATTCTATCAACCATCTATACAAAGAGTGTTACTCTTTATTTTGTGGAATAAACAAATCTGCCTCCATTTCTATTATGTGTATTTACCAACTACAAACAACACCCCCCTTACCTCCCTTGTCCTTGAGTTTGAATTCATCTATGGCTCAAGCTTGAGGCCGAGCCGCCTTTTCACTTCAAAATAGCGAGGACCCCAACTCTTGATTCACAGTTGCATTTACGAAAGAATGGAACAGTATAGCGTGGATGAAATATTAACATAGTGGATATCATGATGTATGTAAGAGATTAGAATCTTGCAGGCATTCTTGGGGATTGGCATAAAAATAGTCCTCTTCCTTAGGTCTGTCAAGAATCACCGTCCTCTTTGAAGCTGATCCCATCCGGTTTGCATGGGCAGCCTTGAGCATTAAAGAGAACTCATCCCATCGCAAAGAACTGTTGTTGTATTGATCTACTAGCTCAACAATAAGTTTTCGGTCTAACAAGATTGTCTTCTTGAACCCCATGTATCTGCATCGAGCAACATAATAAGAGATTTAATTAACCAGTAATAAAAACTATGTGGATTGCAAAAGAAATATATCAAATATTTATTGGCTTTAAAAAAGGAATACGAGAAGAAATGATAATACGATTAGCAGGCAGTTTTGGACGGCACAAGTGAATTCTGTGTTTTAAAAATATGGAATACACACCTCCGATGACCCTCGACAACTTTAGCCATATTGCCATCATATGTAGGAACAAAGATGTCACTTTCCAAAGAAACCAAGTAATCTAGTGCTGCCATTTGTGATGAGTGGTTCTGGAAGAACATTAGATCAGAAGGTTCCAAAAGTGTCTCTTTCCTCACCTAGACATCATTGCAAGCAGAAAACTTGATCAGTAAGGAGATTGAAAGATGAGATCTTAAAAGATTTTATAGTATTACATGTAATACAAATATTTATAGCATGTTTAGTTGTGCCCATACCACATTAGGATACGCTGAAGTGAGAGCAGACATTCTGCGCTTTCCACCATATATTTCTCCAGCTGCAATATATATTTGCATGCTTCTATCGATGTCCAATGCCCTGAGGACAAGGGCAGTCTCCTCTGGCGTCAATGGGCAAAGACCATCCTTTCTTTTCAATTCTGAATTTATAATTTTCTCCTTCCACCATGGATAAGCGTACCTGAATCAAAGAGTAGTTTGAGAATTGTTATCTAACTTGGAAAAGCATACAAAGTTGACAGGTGTTTAGACAGATTCAAGTGAAAGAATTAAGAAAAACAAATCCAACAGCAGATTACAAAATGTCACCTCATTCTTGTGAGGTCGTCTGCTTCTTCATTACTGCAACCTTGTGTACAGCCAGAGAAAGCCAGCATATCCATTTCATAACGTAAGTGAAGAACCAAGAAAGGGCCATTTTGGCGGAGTATCCTAATTACTCTCTTTCCCAACTCCTCAATTTGCGAAGTGAATCTCAAGGAGGCATAGTTTACTCGGCAACGCAGTTTCTGAATCTCCATAGGTAAACCATTGTTTGCTAGCCTAGCATCAGTTCTGTTCAAATGGAGAACCTTGTACTTCCGTATCAAAGGGAGAATCTGGTTCAAATTTGATCAACTATTAGCTTAATCTATACATACTGTAATACAACAATTTAATCAACTATTAGCTTATTCAATAAAATGTCACGATACAAAACAGCCTTAACAGAATGGAATATGAAGCTTACCTGGTTATGGTAATAGGAGATATCAGACCAACTTATTGGTGGCATTGAGTGGTACATCCCATGTTCAACTCTTCGTTTTACCCTTGGAGGCAGTTCTCTCAATATGCGAACTTCATCTCTTAAAGAGGTTATAAAGTGTTCAACATCGAATATATCTTGGAACTCACTGCAAGATAGAATGGTTGCCGAAGTCAATATCCAGAACGTAAGCAGAGCCGCTAGCTTATATTAAGCGAAGTAAATTAGGATCAAAGCCCCAAAATGCACCTTGGATCATTCCAAAATGATGTCTTATCCAACTCTGGCACAACCAAAGTGACATTCAAATATCTCGCAATTACAACCATGTCGCATATCTGATGAAAGAGAATGAGCAGAAGACCATGTTAAGAGTCAGAACTTGTAAAGCACATTCCCGATGAAATTTCACAAATAAGGATTTTCTGGTATCTTACTGCAGCTCGCATTTGATTAAGTCCACCATTACATGAGACCATCAGATAACCATTGTTCCTATAAATTCCTGGTAGACAACGACCACATAACATCAGTACAAGTGAACAGAAATTAAGGCATGTATCACACTATAGAAAAAAAGGTGATCAAACAAAGAGCTCTTTTACGAGCCTTCTAGTGTGACAACCCTCGACATTCAACCAAAGGAAGGTGGTACTAGCGGAAGATACCACAAATTAACACCAGGAGGTGCCTAGAGGTACCACTATTTTTACAGCCCAGTAGTAACTCCCTAATGTTGAGTTTAAGCAAAAATAGTCTCTGAAAAAAAGGCAACCATGCTATTAATCTGCTGTATAAGGAAAGCTAAGCAATTCTTCTTTGTTGAATTATACTGTGTTGTAAAGCTAAATTACCATGTAGCTGAACAAATCAACATTTATTTTCACTAAAAAGTAAATGCTATAAAAGGTCCACACAGAAATATCGGTACAGTTACCCAGAAGATGATAAGGCATCTCATTTGTTATCCAAGTGAAAAATGGTAAGAAATTGTGAAGGACAAAAACATCCGTTAAGTAATCAATGATTGCTACTCATCACAGCACTCATAGATCACCTAAAAAGTATGATCCTAACATGGAAATAACCAAAAATAAAAATTCAATCACCAGAACAGCAAAACTCTTGATCGGCCGAGCAAAAAAAAAAAGGAGGAAAATCCCACATCGCTGATTCTCAAACATCATTGAGAATTTGAGACAATCCATTCAGCACAAAATCAATTTATCAGTTCAAGAACGCAGAAAAGATGAAAAGGCATGACCAAATTCCCTAATCCTACATAGAACACACAAGCCGACATTAACTCAGAATTACATCCACATGAAGCAGGTTAAGTTGCGCAAATTTACTAGCAATTCACACCAACCACCGGTCAAATTCATCGCAAGTTTGAGGAAATTTTTCCAAGTGAACATGGCGACGATGCGGCACCAACATGCAGGCTGGCCGGGTGTCAATGTCGTTGGGAGCAAACATCAACCCAAAGACACGGCATTTTCCAACAGCGCGAGCGAAAGCGAGCAAGCGACCGGACGAAACCGACTAATGTGTGTACTCACTTTTGGGCGGTAGCACGGCCTTGTCGACGACGGGCTCCGGGCGGGCGGCGGCGAGCGTGGCGGAGGCGGCGTCGTCGTCGGGCGAGGTGATGCAGGAGGGCCAGCCCTTGAGCACGCGGGGGCCCCAGGTGTCGCCGACGGCGGTGAGCTGCACGACGCAGGTCCAGAGGAGCACCGTGGTGGTGGCGCGCACCATCCACAGCTTCATCCGCGACCGCGCCGCCGCGGCGGGCGCCGCGGCGCACCTGAGCTTCTCGCCGCCGACGCCGGCCAACTTACCCCCCACCATGGCCGCCTTCCACCCCATCGACCATGAAAAGGGAAATCCTACCAAGCAACCATCCGAATCCACCCACGACGCACCCAATGCAGCAGCACCACCACCACCACCTCCCGCCCACGACCGCACGCCACCGGCGCCGGCGGCGAACGAACGCCTCCCCCCCACCCCACCTCAAAAGCAGCCTCCAAGAACAGTGCTCTCCCGCCGCCGCCTCCTAGCTCCTCCGGGCACGGCAGCAACCGCCCACTCCTCAGACACCGCACCGTTTATCACCACCACCACCACCTCGACCGGCCAAGAACCGGCGTTCCGGGACGCGCCGCACTGTCCCAAGATCGCAAGGCGGGCGGGGCGGGGGGCGGCCTCGCCGGCGGGTGGCCGGAGCGGATCTCGGGGGGAGGAGAGAGGAGAGAGGAGAGAGAGGGGGAGAGTGGGAGGAGAAGCGGGGGGTTGTGGCGTGGGGACGCCTAGTTATTTTTGGCTCTAGGCGTCGGTGGCGCCGCAGGCAGGCAGGAAGGTGGGTGGGTGCGCGTAGCGATTACGAGGCTCTCGCGTCGTGTCCGACAGCCCATTGTTTCGCTTATTATGCATATGATTTATTTGCATAGTTACTTCGTGCGTTTCATATCCTAGCATTATACATATTTATACTAAAAGTCTTATAATATAAAACGGAAGGAGTATACAATATATGATTTTAGGCTGTATTCGAGAATTAAGGATGGGAATCTTGTCTCCTAACACAGAAAACAAAATAGAGGAAGATAAGGAAGAAGGGAGAAGAACACACCTTATGCTGTGTTCAGATAAAGGGGTAAAAAGTTTTGGCGTGTTATATCGGATATACAGACATATATTTGAAGTATTAAGCGTAATATAGTAACAAAATAAATTACAGATTCCTTGTAACTGCGAGACGAATTTATTAAACCTAATTAATCCATCGTTAGCAAATATTTACTGTAGCACCACATTGTCAAATCATAGAGCAATGGCAGCCTAGAGCAATTAGGCTTAAAAGATCCATCTCGCAATTTACACGCAATTTGTGTAATTAGTTATTTTTTTTATATTTAATACTCTATGCATGTGTCCAAACATTCGATGTGACAGGGTGAAAATCTTTGTTGGGATCTAAAAAGGCCCTTAGGCTGTGTTCGCATGAGCGGGATGGGAACTTGTTCTCTCCGCACGGAAAACGGAGCGATCCATTAGCCGTGATTAATTATGTATTAGCTATTTTTTAAAAAAATGGATTAATTTAATTTTTTAAGCAACTTTCGTATATAAATTTTTTGAAAAAAAACATACCGTTTAGCAGCTTGAAAAGCGTACGCACGAAAAACGAGGGAGAGGGCTTGGGATCAGGGGTTTGCAAACACAGCCTTAGTGACTGAAAGAAAACTACGATGAGAAAACACATAAAACTAATTTCAAAATTCAATTTTCAAATTTAAATTTGGACTTATAAACATAAGAAAAGGGAAATAATGAGTCTGCGCGAAGGAAAAAAAGGGGTAGGAACTAGGAAGGCACCGGGGAGGTGTACCACGCGAGGGGTGGGGTGGACACGTGGAGGGACGGGATTGATGGGGTGAGGAAATGGGAGAGAGGACGGACGGCTGGGATTGGAAGTCGGTGGTGGTGGTGGTGGTGGTTGGTTGGGCACGCCGAACTGAGAGCCCGTTTGGTGTGGTGTGGCGCAGCGCAGGGGGGTGTGGTGTTTTTTTTTTTCCCCGTGACACACGCCTGCAGACTTGCAGAGCACATGCACTTGAGTTGTAATGCTGGTGACCTGGCCTCACTTCTCCAGTGTGTTGCTTTTTAGAGTTCTTTTAAGTTTTAGAATTTTATATCCCTTGGCAAGCATATTTTTCTAAGAATATTTTCTTGTTTTAATATGGAAATAGACTACTAAAAACCGGCAACAAGTTTTTTGTTTTCGAAAAACTTTTAAATGTACTGTAATATAATTATAGTGTACTCTTTTCGTCCCATAAAAAATAAATTTAGTACGGAATATAACAAAATTAGAGCAAACACAATAGAAAGCTATACAAGAACATGTGGAAGAGATAGGAGAGCACTCAGAAGAAAAACAGGCTACAGATTTATAGCTTATAGCCAGCTGTAACACAGGTTCCAACATAGTGTATATGTATGAGAGGTGGGTAAGGTATTGTGAGTATATGTCATTAAAGGTGTAACCTATTAGATTAACTATAAATGACGTGTCAAATTTTAGAGCCAGCAGTTAGATACATTATTAAAATTAGCTCTTATAAGTTTTATATATCTTATATATAAGTATGAAAAACACATGTAACTTTCATATAAAATTACTATAAGTTAATATGAGTTACAACATAGTTACAATGCATTTATAATATATTTAAATTATAGTTACATTGTAATTACATTAAAATTGTAATTTATTTAGATTTGGAAAATTTTCAACCAACAAACTCATGACAACTTTTTAGCAATTCCTGTTGAAAAATGCATGCTATTCTTTTTCCAAGTGACAAATACTCCCTCTGTCCCCAAAAGCTTGATGTTTTAAGGATTCTCGGGCAAATTAGGCTTGGTTTAGTTCCCAACTTTTTCTTCAAACTTCCAACTTTTCCATCACATCAAAACTTTCCTACACACAAACTTCCAACTTTTCCGTCACATTGTTCTAATTTCAATGAAACTTTCAATTTTGGCGTGAACTAAACACACCCTTAGCTACAAGTAAAAATGACCTAGTTACCCTCATTTAATAGGTGTGGTTGTCATTTCAGTGCTCGGTAATTTGAGGTAAGCTAAGGCTGTGTTCGCTAGGGGAGGATGGGAACGCACACAGAAAACATAGTAGTGTATTAGCGTGTGATTAATTAAGTATTAGCTATTTTTTTAAAAATAGATTAATATGATTTTTTAAACAACTTTCGTATAGAAACTTTTTACAAAAAACGCACCGTTTAGCAGTTTTAAAAACGTGTGTGCAGAAAATGAGAGGGGAGTGTTGGAAAGTTGCTCTTGCAAACACAACCTAAGAGCAAGTTTAATAGTATAGCCCACTACTAACTCCAAATTATCTATAGCCAATGTAATAGACAATTTATATAATAGTTGCTTACTATACTATTAATACCTGGTCCCACTTATCATACACACATTACGTCTCGTAGTCCGTGTTGCAGCTGACTACATATATGTAGCCTGCTGCTCTTCTCTCTCTTCCTTTTATCTCTTTAAAATATGTTTATAGCTAGCTTATAGCCTGCTATTGTACCTGCTCTAAGTGGACATGCACTCATGTTATAATTAAAAAATACTTCTTATATGCAAATAACTAATAAATGCTAGTAGTAGTCCTACGAAAACCCCTACTAGATGGCATCACTTTCCTGGTGAAGGTGCTAAAACGACAGCTTTTGTGGGACATATTTTGAACCGTAAAACAACATGCTTTCTAGGACGGAACAACATGCTTTCTAGGACGGAGGTAGTAGTATTAGGGCGTGGAAGAATTTTATTCTGTACCTTTGTGGAACATGAGAGTTTTTCTTTTTGGCTATTTTCCAGTGGAAGTAAAATACGGAATATAATATTGCTGCCACTACAGAATTTTATTTTGAAATCTATAGTTTTGGGCAACTTGCCAATTTGACGAAAATATGCCCATTTTAATTATATCTGTAATTATCTATTTCAGAGCACAAACTATAAAATGAGCAAGTAATAGCCGTAATATATATCTAATCCATTTCTTTACAAATCAAATATTTCATGGCATATATAGGTATATATATCTGGTAAATCCTACTCGTGTTCTCTTCTATTTGGAGTCGATATATCCACATATGTAGACATGTATAGCAATTAGCAATTAAGCACATTTTTCAGTCATAGCAATTAAGCACACGTAATTTTTAATTAATTGGCTTGGTTATTAAGATTTGGCAAAAATGCAAAGTATAAAGCTACCCTGCTTTGCACGCTTCACATGACACGTCAGCGTTTGGCCAATAATGCTATAAATGATGATGAGATCGAAGCTCACTCATGCAGCCCAAATTCTAAACTAAAACAAGAGAGGAAAAAAAAAAGAGGACACTGGCAGATCTCATGTCGAGATGAGTACCCTAGCTAGCGTGTAACGAACAAAGTAGGTCAATTAAGCATTAAGCTTTAATCTGTTAGTAAATGTGGTCACCAACTGATCACAATGATTTAATTAGCTAATCGTTTTTTTTTTCTCTCCAATAAACAATGCGTGCATGGATGCCATTATTCTCATTTGCCAAGCATGCATGTTACCAGATCGAGCAAGGAATGTTCGTTAGAATATTTATTGTTTTGTGGAGTCTTACATGCATGTAGAAAGGAACCATGAGAGGATCTTATTAGCTGGAGCATATGCAGCCATTGACACATATGCTTGGCGTCATATTGCTCTTCTATAAGCCCCGTATGTATTCACTTCCTTTAAGTTAGCAAAACTAGACACATGCATTTAAATGGTTAGATGCCCACAATTTGATTTTGAGCATTGAGATGTGGTGGATTTTTTTATAAGCAACAGTGTTGTATGTTTGACACTAAATGCTTTGTAACGAGCGGAACTCACCAATTTTTGTCTTGTGGGAGCTCCATATCGAACTAATTAATAAATCAAAGACGAGATATAAGCATTGCTAACAATTAATGGAATTTTTGGGGAGAAATAGTGCATCGTAGTCAAGTTTGATGGGTGGTAAATAGTATTCTAGTCGTTGTTTGTGTTTTACACCGAAGGAGTGTCAAAATGATTTTAATAAAAGTTGACCGCCATCTAGACTTGTCGAGTTAAAAAATAATTTACTTAGGGAATAGATGGGCGACTTCTTCGAAAAATCTAAAATACTATGTTTGTGTGCAATTTTCAGATGGTGTAGGCTCGAATCTAGATTCCTTCGTACACATATATGCATCCTTTCTGGTCAAATATTTGGATTCCATTTCTCCTTTGGAAAGAAATGCCAGTCCAATGGAACGGTCCCATACTTGATACTTCTCCTCATGCATGCATGTATGCCCATTGCCCAAACCTTATTGATCTACCCTCGTTCTTATATCATTCTTAAATCTTAACTAGCTAGAAAATTACTACCATGTTTTTAACATTTAGAGAGGCGTATCAGTGAACATTATTCTTTTAGAGAGAAACTAGTGAAAGCGAAATACAATCAACATCAAAATGCCATGAACAAGCCTTTATATCAACCGAAACCGATATTCGAACTACAAGATATATAACTGCATGTTTTATTTTTCCGTACACAACTAATCCAATTAAATAAAGCCCTCAAGAATCCCCAAGCCCTAGAAGACACACTGTAGCCAAATATAATGGCTGCCTAAGAGTACATATATATGGTGTCCTCCTCAGCACAAAAGCATCAGCCTATACATATCAAGGAGCAACCTTTTTCTTATGTTGTTAAGAACAAGCATCATGCTGGTTGGTGTGGACAATAACATTCCACCAGCAGATGATGCTCCTCCTGCCATAGCCTGCTACCTTTCTCATCTCATCTAT